CACGCGCGCGAGCACCTTCGCCTCCAGATCCCACGGCGGTAATCCGGCAAGGAGGTTCGCCGACTCCCCAGAGATCGTGCGGTATCCGCGGATCATTCGGATCGCCATGACCCTCTGTGCCATGAGCAGCGTCCGAGCGGGACGCCGCAACATGTTTGGCGCCCAAACAGGGGCGCCGTAGAGGGCCATGGACCGCACGACCCCGGCGTATAACCTCCGGCAGGAGGCGTTTGGCTTGGAAGCTTACCTCCTATTAACACTAATGGGAACTATAACATACTGCATAGCTTGATGTGTTGTGTAGCTGTATGTACTATTGAAATTGAAAACGCATCATCATCCACGACTGGACAAAGGCGTCCCCGCAGACTCACTAGAGTAAAGTCAACCTCATGACAAACCTACAGTACCCTTTACCGGATGTTTGTTACAGACCTGCTGATATAATTTGACGGAAACATTTTAATCTAGTGCAACAATGTTGAGAAAGGTTAGATTAATTAGTATTAATCGATCTATCCTCTTATATCTACCTGCTATAGGTAGACTAGGATTGTGTGATTACTGCGTGAATAAAGGATGTCCGTCGATAAACAAACGTGATATATTCTTTAATCTAGCTATAGTTTCACGTGGCGGTACACGGTTACCGCAATGGCTGGGACATCGCCTGTTACGCAACGTGTTGCTAGTTTGGTTCCGGTAAACAACTCTATAGATACTATTTGTGGTGTAAGTATCATCTATAAATGTTGTGGCTGGACAATGATGTACATTTGTTTAGTTTTAGGATAAGGGGTAGGAACCGACGTGAAACAACGCTTGCGTTGTGTTTCGTCGTGTGAGTGAGGTCACTGGAGGCCCAATTACCTACCTCAATCCCTGAATACCCAACAATCCTCAAATTCCTAATCCCCAAAAGGCCGATAACGCACTTGTTACGTCTTTGCATGTTCTAGGTACCCATGGGCGACGCCGAGTACTTACCATTATCAGGTGATCCATCTGCTCGTTTACCGGCTTATTCCATAAAAAACCCGTGTCATCGTCAATACCCTATCTTCATCAAACCACTATCTTCCATCGATATGACCCCTAGATGGGGATGGGGACAATCCCACCCACTCATTAAACTTCAAACACCAACAAGGCAACTTCTTAGAAAATATAACGGTTAAAATTTTTGTTTGTCACTTAATTAAACAATTCGTCATTCCGTCAACAATATCGACACATATTGGTTCTTTGTATCATACTGTACGGAACGCCAGTAACTAGATATTCGATACAAGACTGTAAATTATATCAGTAGCCACACCCCTACAATAAGGGGTTCTTCAAGAGGGGAGTGAATAGGTTTCTTAAGAGTCGGCAAGACGCATGTAATGCCCCAAGTGTTACAAGTGTACATAGGCCCCGGTAACCGCTTACCATCAGGTGGGCCGTGTGCTTTTTTGCCACCGCCGTGGTACAAAAAAAAAATGATAGTAGGTATCTAAGATAAAAAGGATGTCTAGAATATATCTGTAAGTGGCATAGAGATCACTAGTTCGATCCCCAGGTCAAAAATTCTCAGTACCAATGTAGTCAATCAGAATTCTAAGCTCCAAGGACTTTCTCGTAGGTTTAATGGAATAATTCTTTTATTTATTACCAAGTTAAACAAAATACTGGGACTAAGGACATCTTCCTTCAGGGTATAAACTATAAAAGGCGATATTACTACATTTGATATACCTATTTCTGTAGAGATAAGGAACTGTAAGACATTTATACGTGTATAGTAGGCATAAGTAACATAAATATAACATGCAGTAGGTAAGCAAGTATAAATAAAGGAATGTTTTGATGTTTTTAAGATCTGTAACGACAAATGACGATAATACGATAATGTTCGTAAATGAGGGGTGTCTAATTAGTTTCTGTACGAGATATCTAAAATAAATATGTAATACTAATTGCTTTAGGCATTTCATATTATGGAAATAGCATCTCCCAAAGAGTCAATAGGAAGAGAGATACAACTCCGATCTTGATAAATGATGAGATGATTAAATAGGGACGTACCATACATATCTACTTGCCTCTATGCCTAGTCCTGCTAATCTACTTATTTGTAGAATTGTACTGCGTAGGTATAATTTGGACAAATTTCATACGCTGAGTAACTCACTGTTTTTAGGAATAAAAATGAACCATAAAATAATTAAGTTTATGACAAAAAGCTTCCATATATTATATGCTTGCATAAAAACGGCTTGCTAGAAAAGACAAAAGGAAGTATAATGAGACGGAACAGTGCAAATACTACACGCTGTATCCACAGATCCGCACAGTCTTAGAAAAAGTACGTAGTATATATGTATGTACCTACTTAAAATGTTATTATTAATCAAAGACTTGCATTATAAAACTCAAATAAACAAAAGTGAACGTAACTTTATTGAACGCAGCAGTATCTTCACTCTCCACTGACGTTTCCGTTTCTTTACACGTCTGCTATTATTCTTCGAAAGCATAATTCAAGAATTGTTTTCATTTTATTCGGACAAAATGTTTAGTGTTACAGTAATCTTATAAAACAAGTTAGATTATTAATATCAATCTTGGCGGTAAATCTGTTTTTTACAGTTATGGGGTCATAAATAGAATCCCCAATTCTATACAAACTTCGGTGAAACGGAGCGCACTTGACTCCTAGCGACTGAAAATGAATTATCGAATTTCTGGATTATTTTATTAAAATTAAATCACATAGTGTAGCCGTAAGTGTACTACGTAGGCGTAAAAACATTTATTGCTTTAGGTATTATTAGTTGACTGAGTATTTTTTACGGTTTTATTTACTAACACATTTTGCTTCATCGATGGACTTTAGAATCGATAACCCAATTTCTTTTAAGTTTTTAAATGACTGCAATTGTGCATTAGTGCGTCGCTGTAAAATGCTGTTGTGTTAGGGTTGTGTGAAGTTGTTGTGCCCGTTGTGACCATGCTTTTCACACCGATTTATATTGCTATGACCTTTATAAAGACCTGGAGAATTCGCTCGTTCCGAGCTCGTCTACTTGAATTTTTGAGCGGTAACACAAGTGTCGCATTTTGTAAAGTTCCTGAGAATGCAGCCGGTAAGTCTGATTAAACTTTAAAGAGGTAGTTATGTCACTACTCTGCAAAAAAAGATTAAATCAGTAGTAAGCATGACATTAAAAAATAAATCAATAACTTATTAAATAATTAATTACTTTATTCTACTAATAGAACTAACTTGCCTATAATTTATATCATGTTATATCTAACTTACTCTTTTACAGAAACCCCTACACTTAGTTCTAAGTTATGTACAAATCCAAAAAATGCATATCTATGTGACTTACTGGACTATACGAATGCTACGAGAATCTGCAGTATGAAGCCGACACAGTTGATAGAGATCAATGAC